TTCTGTGGTCAGGGGCATAGACTGCTCTAGCAGAAGACCAGGATTTGGTTCCCAGTACCCACATGGCAGCTCACAGCCATCTAACCTCCAATTCCTGGGAATTGGAGGCCTTCTTGTGGCCTTAGCCAGCACCAGACAAACACATGGTACACACACATACAGGCAGGCAAATGGAGGATCGTGAGTTTGAGGGCAGCTTATGCCATGTGGCTTTAAGAACCCCACCTCCGTTTTCTTGGAATTGTAAAGTCTTGCTACACACCCTGCCTTTACAGGGGGTTTTGGGGACCCAAACCGTGTCCTCAGGCTTACTAAGCAAGCTCTTTAACTGCTGGGCCATCTCTTCCACTTAAGGATGCGGCTGCCGCCTGGCTTTTGCTGCTGAGCGTCAAGACTGAGTGATCTCCATAGAATTGGGCTGGGAATGGGACTCAGTTGAGAGTGCTTGCCTGGAATGCACAAAGTTAGTCCCAAGCACTTAGAGGAGACAGCAAAATCAGGAGTTCAGAAGTCATTCTCGACTCTACAGATAGTTCAGAGCTGGTCTAGGCTACAAGAGACCCAGAAAAAAAAAAAAAACCTGGAGTGAATTTGCTTCTTTCACCAAGGAATATACATCCTGAGGAGTATAGAGGAGAAGAGAAAATGCTTAGGGAGATCAACTGGTAATTCCGCTAACAGCCTTGGAGGACAAAAAAATTAAATTCTAAAAATCAATATTTCATGTGGTGGTGGCGCACGCCTTCAATTCCAACACTTGAGAGGCAGAGACAGGGAGAGTTCTGTGAGTTCAAGGCCAGCCTGGTCCAGGGCTAACAAACAAACAAATCGGCACTTCTCTGCCTTGGTGGCACCGACAGCCAGAGAAGCTAGTCTGCAGACATTCCTGGTCTGGAAATGCAGTCCACTTGGCAGAATGCTTCTGTAACATGAACAAGGTCCTGGGCTGGATCCAGCATCCACAACCCAGCTAGGGACAAGCTCAGTCTAGACCGGTCCCTGTGCTGGCTCTGCCACCAGCTCTCACCCACGGTGTGAGTCTTTCCACATGGTAAGAATAACAGAAAACCAAACCAGCACCGGGACTTGGGGTGAGACGACCCAGGAAACCAATGAGATCACACATGAAATATCCTGTGTGTGTACAACTGCCCAGGAAGTGTGATTTAGGAGTGCAAATGAGTCTGTTTATCCAAAGACAGAGTACAAGGAGTCTCCAGATTCCTACGGGCTCCTGACTCTACTGTCTGCCATTCCTAACTGCGTAAAGAAAGCACATTCGTAACATGCATTCTTACTAAACATATTATTAGAGATTCCAAAGTACAGAACCCCCAAAATGGAGCTACTAATGCAAAACTGGGGCTTCAAGATCAAATTTATTCAGGAAGCAAAATATCAACATCTTTTTTTCTTGGAAACTTGTGGCTTTTAAAGGCTCTGTTGCTTCTAAAGCTAGAACTGAAAAGCCCTGCTATAAAAAAAAAAAACAAACTGGTGTGTGGATTTTTTTTTCCTCCATTTTAACAGCTGTATTCTCAGAAGATTGTAAGGCACAGTCCTAGAGATGCTAGTCTAAACTAACAAGATGTTAGTCTTGTAAGTTCTTCACCTGCAGCAGCTCCTGGAGGAATGTGTGTGTCATTAGTTATAATATAGCACCTTATATATGGTGAGAATTATCTCTGTGTCTTATGTTTATTTTGGACCGGTTCTGCTTGCATCTGTAGTCCCTGCTAAGTACCGAAATTGTGCGTGTGTACATGTGTATGGTGTATGTCTGTGTGCATGTGTCTGTGGTGCATGCCCCATGTGTACTCGTGCAGAGGCCAAAGGGGCACGTCAAGTGCCCTGTTCTGTCACCGCCTTACTGCCTTCAGACAGGGTCTCTCACTGAACCTGGAGCTCTCTGGGTTTTCTGTTTGGGCTTTTTCCTGCACACCTGTCTGGCCAGCAAGCCCCAGAAACCCTCCTGTCTGTCTCTCCTGCTAGCTGGCGGTACAGTGAGATGCCACCATGCCCAGCTTCTGTGGGTTCTGGGGATTAGAACTCAGGGCCCCATGCTTGTGCAGAAGCACTCAACTGAACTGGCTCCCCAATCCCCACAAATACCTAATTTCTGATGGATTATCAAACTCTTTCAACCCAGAACTGTGAATAAGCCCTTCTGTGTCTCTGAATATAGCTTCTATCACTTCACAGTAATCCCCAACTTTGCTGCCTGTTTATCTTCTTCAACTACAGTCTCGCCAAGGGGGCAAGTATTCTAACCAGCCCTGCTCTTTGATTAACTCCTTAGGAAGGGAAGGGAGGGAGGGAAGGGTGAGAGGAAGGGAGAGGAGGGAGGGAGGGAAGAAAGAAGGAGAAAGGAAGGAAAGATGGAAGGAAAGAAGGAGGGAAGGAAGGAGGGACGGAAGGAAGGAAGGAAGGAGGGAGGGAGGGAGGGAGGGAGGGAAGGAAGGAAGGAAGGAAGGAAAATAACAAACCCACAAGTTATCCAAACCCAAAATTGGAGCTGCCTCTCTGAGGGAAGACCACCTCTGTTCTGGAGACAAGAAAACAGGCCAATTACCTGAACACACTGAGAAGTCTAGACTTCCACCGAAATACAATACACAGTCAACAGGAACAGACCTCACACAAATACATGCAGCCCTTGGCAGGACAGTCACAACAGTGGTTTCTCAGAACACTAATCCAGGGAACCTTAAGTCCAGCACCACTGATGCTTGAAGCCACATAGCTATTTATTATGAAAATATTGTGTTGGTCGCCACCCACCACTACCCCTACCCCCAGTGAGAAATAAAATGATCTCCAGACCTAACCAGGTGTCCCCAGGGGTAAAGCCACCCCTCTGCATCCTGCTGAAGACCAGCATCTAGAGTCTTGCTAGGGCTTATGCTGTGACATTCCAAAGAACTTTCCGAACTGACTTCCAGGAAGAGGGGAAGAGACAAAAAGGGCTGGGAAAACAGCTGCCGGCTTTATAGGAACTACAGGTTTCTCTGTATATCCAAAACTGATCTGAAAAATGTTTTGTTTTTTTTTTAACAAATTTCAATTAAAATGGAAAGAAAAGACTGGGGTAGAAGGCATTAAAACAAAGCCTAAAAGCCACAGCCCTTGCCGGGCAGGCATCTGAGTGATTGTACCTGAAGGAACTGTCTGGATTACTGAAAGGGATCAAGTGGCCAGAAAATGAAATTCTTTTGTCAGAATCAGGAAGTGGAAAGGTAAAACTCTCTCCTGAGGGGATAACTGAGGAGGGGGAGGGGCTCTTGCATCCCCATAGGCCCTCATCTGCCCTGTCAGCGGCTGTCACTTATCCCTCCCTCTAGACTTCACATCCATGGCCTGGTCCACATCTTGGCACAGTCAGGCAGGTGAACAGATGCTGGACCCCCCGCCCAGACTCAGGAACCTGAGAATCAATAACCTTAAAGTCGGCTGCTGGGTACTTAACACATGCCCACTGAAAGGTCACAGACACCAGCTGGAGGAGGGTAGGGAAGCTGAGTACCCAAATGAGACAAAGAAGTCAGAGCCAAACTTAAAAGTCCCTGAGTTTTCAGGGGCGACAGAGGAACTATTTGTGAATGTGCTGTGGGCACGGAGAAGGGACCTGCGCACCGTGTACCCGCAGTGAGAGGGCTCGCAGTGAGGGGACCTGCACACCGTGTGTGTACTCCTAGTGAGGGGACCTGTGTGTGCACCGTGTACCTGTAGTACCTAAGTCACCTCCTCCACCCCCTACAGCGGCTACTATCTGCTGAGCATCCAAAAGCAGGAAGGGTGAGAGGCAAGGAGAAAAGAACAAACTTGCCAGGAATAGTGGCCCCCACCTGGGAGGATAACGCAGGGGACTTTAAGGCCCATCTCCAAGAACTTGCCTGGCCTAGACGATCTTCTCCATTTCTTCTATCTCTAAGATCTGTAAATCCTAACCACTCCAAAGCAAATCTTTCCGGCCGCACCACATAACAGCTTCGAAATCCAACTCTTGGCAAAGGAAAAACCAGAAACAATAAGCCACTCTTCCATAGAAGTCTGCATCGCTGACACGCTGGAAAATTATTCCAAGTGGGTTTTGTTTCGCTTGAACTGACCTCTGGCCAAAAGATGCAAACGAATCTTAGAAATCCTACAAAATGTACCTTCACCAACCCTCCCCGGGCCATCCTCCCCAACCGCCTCCCTGCGAAAGAATCAATATATTAAATCCTGAGTCTCCTCTGATAGCTTCAGTGTCTACGGCTCACTGCCCCTTGACTCCAGGTTCCAAATAATCGCCAGCTGGGAAGAAACACATAGCAAGAGACGGGACAATAGATTCCCGACTCTGGGTCAAAACCAGTCTTCGGTCAGATCCCTTTCTTGCGCTCAGATCTCTCCTTTGCCATCTACACAAAGGACGCGACCCCCTCCTCCGGAGGCTGCAGGAGATGAGGGACGTTATCAATGCCTGACTCTAGTATAGTCTGGTTCCTCTCTCCATTCCTCCCCGCTTCCTACTGGAGCTTCTTCTCGGCTCACTTGGCCACAAGTACCCTCTCCCCCTCGCAGAGGGCCGTGGATAACCAGACCCCCACACCCACTTCAAACAGAACGTTTCACCCTACTCCATCCCGCTGCACCAAGGAAACCGGCTCAGCCTCCTGACCCAGCCGCGTGCGCCGGAGCCTGTCTAGGACAGCGTGGCTGCTGGCTGGGCTGCCACTACCATTCCCAGGGTGAATGACAACACCTAACGGTGTTTGGGATAACATTTTCCGACTGACGCCCTTGGAACTCTCGCGGCTGCCCAGAGCACTTCCGAGGCCCACTCCTGGCTGAGCAATCCCCAGGTATGAAACAGCTTTCCAGGCATGGGAATGACAGCGAAGCAAGAGTTGCCAAGTTCTGGACTCCGTCTCCGCGGGAGCCGCGCGGCAGAGATAGGGTGCGGGGCCCGAGGGTCCCCGAGCGGGCGGTGCAGGCTGGGTCTCGCACTGACTCACCGTCCGTGCTCCTCTTCGCCTCGTGGTAGCGCGCCCACAGGTAGCGTTTCATGTCCACGGCGGCCGGGGCGGTGCACAGGCGCCGAGCACAGCCCGTGCGCGGCCGTCCCCGAGCTGCAGCTCCGCCGCTGCTCCGCAGCCCCGCCGCCGCCGCCCTCGCCCCGCGGGCCACCGCAGCCACTGTGGCCATGCCGGCTCCGAACTGCCGGAGGCACGGACGGCCAGCGTCGGGAGGATTACCGGACGCGAGTCCGCGATGCCTGTCTCTGTGCAACCAGCCTCCAGGCCCAGGAACCAGCCTCTGAGGGGCGGGACCTAGGCGGAGTCGGAGGCAGGGCCTGGAGACGTGGGCGGGGTCTATAAGGAGGCGGGGTCAGGGGCTGGGCTTGGAGCCGCGGGGTGGGTGGGGCCTGAGGCTGAGACAGGGGCGGGGCCTGGCTGGACGGGGGGGGGGGGGGAGGCCGGGACTGAGTGGGACCTTCCGTGATTGAGTCAGAGGCGGAGTCAGGGGCGGAGCCTTGAGGAAACGGGGTGGGCGGGGCCTTAGATGCCTGGGCTCGGCTCCCGGTCTGCTGCGGTCACTTCCTGACCCCGCGAGGCGTGGGGGTGGCAGGGCAGTGGCACTTGAGACCGCATGGACTAGGATGATTCGTCTCCGACCCTATCGCCGCCAGCAGGACTCCGTGCTTCCTTCCTCTTGCCTTCCGTGGCGATTATGGTTTCACTGATAGGCACCCCTCACTAGGCACTCCTGTCCGGGTCCCAGCCTCTGGAAGGTGACCTCACTCCGTATCAACGGCATCTGCAGGTCTTCTGGATCTCAGGTACTTGTCTGAGACGTCCTGAAGCCCATCTAAACCTGCCGAGGTCCCACACAAAGTCTAAAATCGCCTGCAAGATCCCATCCCTGAAAATTGCAAGTATAAAGCACACTCAAATTTCCCTTTTCGGTGCACGGCCTCTGGAAAGCCGGATTCCCACCTCCAAGAGGCCCTCTGGTCAAGATTCCAGGCTCCTGCCCACGCTCACAACACACGCTTGGTGGCTGCTCAGCTTACCTGCTTAACCGCACTTGTTCCATGCCTTGTAGCTCCCACTAAAAGCCAATAAACAGCAGCCGCCCCACCAGGCGCCATTTCTGTGTGCCCTGAGTCAGACGTGGCTCCTGCAGGATTGACTGCCGTCCACCCGAGACCTGCCTGAAACACACTGAGCCCTGGGAATTCCCAAACTACCCCCACGGTGACCACTGAGTAGGAGGTAAATCAGAGGGACGAGCTGGCATATGTGAAGTAGGTGGGGCACAATCGTGATTCCTAAAGCGTCGCTGGGAGAGTAAGGTGGTTCACGGAGGAAGATGACCCTTAAGCTAGTTCCTGGCTAATAATAAAAAGTCATCAATGAGGCTTCCAGGGTAATTTATCTCTACAGTTTTCTCAGCTATCTTCAAAGATAAGCACCATGTCTCTCATTTTATACATAGTCAAATTGAGACACCGCAGAAGTAAAGTTGCTCACCTAAAGCCACATAGCTGAGTCCCCTCTTCTGTTAGTTTCCTAGGAACGATGTTGTTGGGCGGTGGGGATAAGGGTCGCTAGAAAGTAATCCTTAACTATTGCAGGTTAATGTTTGACGAATCACTGATAAAATGGAGGATAGTAAAATGCTCAAATAGATATAGTATCAAATCCAAGGGCTCTGATACTTAAAGCTTTATGACTAGAGAGCATTTCAATTTCTAGTTTTTTTCTTATTGTATCAATAAAAAGTTTTGGTGACAACAATCATCAATTTTGCTTAGATGGGAAAAATTTAAATTCACAACAGATAAACCATAGAAATTCAAAAATAAAGCTAGAATTGGTAAGGTTGCCTATATATAATATATATTAGAATATAGTACTATGGAGTCAAGATTGTTCTACTTCCCATAGAAATCTGGGTCACTTAGAACCTGCTCTTTTTAACTAAAATCAGACACAACATTATAAGGGACTAAGAAAACTGAATCCCCAGACGTGGATAGTGACCACTCCTAAGTGTTTAAAAGAAAATACTTGATTAAAGAATCCAAAATAGATGCTAAGGAGGTGGCTTAGTCTGTAAAGAGCTTGCTGTGCGCACACCAGGACCTGAGTTTGAGGTTCAACACCGCCATAAAAAGCCAGGTGTGACAGCCTGTTCCTATGACCTCCACAGGGAAAGCAGAGACAGTAGGATCCCTGGAGCTCACTGACCGGCCAGGCTAGTAGAATCTGTGAGCTCTAGATTCGGTGAGATCTGGTCTCAAAATATCAGGCGGAAAGTGATTGAGGAAGACACCGGCACTGACCTCTGGCCTACACACAAACATGTGCACACATGTGCCACAAGCACACATATAGAACTTCAAGAGAAATGAGAAAGACTTAAATACAAAAGAGCCCAGATGGTTTTTATTTTTTGTCGGTGTCATTTGAGGCCTTCAACCATTTTGCTTCTATTAGAGATCGTCTTGGGAAAGGAGGCCTCTGAGGAGTACAGGTGTACTGTGGGCTGTGGAAAAGCCATTTTTCTGATACAAGCTCAGATATGGAATCCCAGGGGCTGTTTGCACTAAGAGGTGCTCGTGGGGGTTGGCGGTAGATTGCAGTCATTAGGCTTTTTCCATTCTCGCACTTAGCAGAGAAAACCCTTTGCCTTGAAAGTCTGACTAAGCCATTCTTTTCACCCGGAAATAACGTCTTCATGGGACACTCTTTCTTTCTCCTTGGAGTTTGCTTTCTTGGACTATTCCATGTGGTCCAAGTATTTTGCGTATTTTGTACCTTCTGTTGGGTCTTTTCCCCAGCAGAGGTGCTGGGAATTGGAGTCAAGGTCTTCTTTCCTTTGCCACGAGGACATTTGGGTTTATCTGAAACCGGAGGAGGTGCCGGCTCTGTGCTGTTAGTTCCCTGCATCTTACTTATGCCGTTCATACACAGGGCGGTGTTCACCGTGTCCGAGCTCTGAGCGCTGCGATAGTTTAATTTAGACAAGTTTTCCCAGAATAAAGAGCAGTTCCTGGCACCGTCAGGGAACAGCTGGCTCGTGCCTTGAGGCCAACACCGCCTGCCTCGGAACTTCTGGATTTCCCCTAGAAGGCTGCAAAAGACCAAAACATGTCACGCAGCTGTGGATTAACACAAACAATCAGAAAGTCGGCTTCTTTTTGAGACATGGAACAGGAACTCACTGCAGTATTCCCTGGGCTGAAGTGTGGGAAGACCCCAGGTGAGTTGCCCTTAAATCAAGTGACCTATACAAATAGCCGACTGCCTCCATCATGGCATGATGGGAGAAGTCACCTGACAACAGTTGGCCTGCTGGGTAGACAGAGGGAAAAGGGGACGTTAGAATTTTTAATTACCATCTTTATACATTTACAAGAGACTGAAGAACATTTGTAAAGGCGGCATTAGAATGCCATCTGTCGTCACACACCCTGTCAAAAGCATTTCACTTGTGTCTCGTATGAAGAAACCATAGGAGAGGACATTGGGCCAGGAAAGAAGGGACAGAGGCTGACCTCCACTCTTTAGAAATTCATGTTGATGCCATGAGAGGAGGAAGAGACAGGAAGAGGGGGAAGAGAAGGAAAGGGAAGATGGGACCAGGTCAAAGCCTCAAGTTAAAGAGACAGTCAGTGCAACTTGAACCCTCAGGAGTCTGGAGAACAGCTCAGTGTAGAGTGTTTGCCCAGCATGCACCAGGCCCTGCATTCCATTCTCATCACTCACGCATGCATGCACACACGCACACACATACATACACACACGCACATACACATGCACACACATACACACACACACACCTTCACTGAGCCTTTGACAGTTGTAGATCTACATAGCTCTAGATTAGACAAACACCAACACTGCAGCCTCATAAGTTCTGTGAAAACGAATCTTACCAGTGTGTTTTTCTTGGGTTAGGTGACAAGGGTTACATTAGAAAACGTGCCCAACACACTTTCTTGATCACACCTGCCTTGTGAAGCTGGTACCATTAGGACACAGATCTGGACATGTGATAAAGGGACTGCTGGGGATGTCCTCACATCCACGAGCATCAACACGTGACCAGGAGCTTGTGCCCAGTACCAGGCACATCAGTCTGTTAGTCCAACAAATGTTGACAGAGGTTTCTGTCCCACTCGGTCCCACAGACGTTCAGTTCCAAAGAAACACACAGAAGTCTACATTAATTATAAACTGGTTGGCCTATTAGCTCAGGCTTCTTATTAACTCTTTCTTGCATCTGAAATTAGCCCACAATTCTTGTCTATGCTAGCCACATGACTTGGTACCTTTATCAGTGAGGTGTTCTCATCTTGCTTCCTCTGCATCTGGGTGACAACTGCAGACTGATTCTTTCCTCTTCCCTCCTGTTTTCGTCACCCTGCTCTACTTCCTGCCTGGCTACTGGCCAATCAGCGTTTTATTAAAATACAAGTAGCAAATCTTTACAGGGTACCAGACCATTGTCCCACAGCAAATGAGCTATGCCGTCATCACATGTCTTTCTTTTCCAGTTAGTCTTTTACACAGTGCACATATACCTGTGGCTCAAACACGAAAACGTACCCAAGTGTGAAGTAAAAAGAGTCTCCCTTCCCTATGCCTCTGTAAGCAGTGCTGTGGGTGTCCAGTGTGCCCATTCTGCTATCTCTTAGACATGGTCTGGTTCCTGGTGGAACAACCCAGCCTGCCCCTGACAAGGCCCCTTCACTCTGGATTGTAATGGACGTCATTGACTCCTACTTGCAATCAACCTCTCTGCGGCTCTATTTCCTAAGCCACGCCTACAGCTTTTCCTGTAGTTTCTGGGGGTTGTCTACTTAGCCCTCTGCAGACATGTCCTTGCTTTCAAATTCCTCCACGATTCCCTACGATGCTTCCAGCCGCCCTCTCAAGACCAGTAGCGTGCCCATTCGAGTTTCTCAGTTGTGATGGCTGAATTCTGAGGACTTCAGCTGGCCTTAAAGGGGAAATGGAGAAACAGAGAGCTTCCTGTGGACCTGCTAAGCCAGGACCCGCTGGAAGAGATGCTCTGGCCACCCACCTCCAGATCCTGCAGACACTGTTCCTTCTCCAGGAAGCTCTTGGTTGGTGACACCGAACTACACTGTCATAGGAGCAGCTTGACTCCTTCACGGCCGACCACCCAGGCTTCTTCCACGCCCACTCCTGACCCCCAGGACCCAAGGCAGATCCATAGCTATGGTTTTGACCTCAGTGTCCTTTGACACAACCTGATGCTCTCTG